CTTGTCAAGAAAATGAGTTCTGCAATGCATGAATTAAATGTTATGTACACTCTCAGAACCAATTAGATAATCAGGTTAGTTCTGAATATTCAGACTACACAACACACTATCAGAAAATCAGAAATAAACCTGGATATAAAAAAACATGTAAACATAAAGATAATCTTTTATTCATTACAAAAAAAAGGAGTCTATGCTACACAGTCGGTAACCATCATTTACTTTTCTTCTTTTTCAACTCTGTTCCATTCTTCTAACCTTTATCACTTTCAACAACAGCACGACACAAGCTTTCGCTGTACCTGGGACAAACATGAATACGAACAACGTGCATGCACGAGCTCGTGCTCGTCATTAACAACAGCTAGAAGAGGAGGAATAGCAAAAAATGTAAAGATCTAAAACCTAAACCAGCTGACGATGTTTTGGATGAAGAGAAAGTTATGCTTGATGCTAACTTGAATAGGATCTAAAAATGGCGCAGCAACTATTGCAACGTGGTGACAAATAAAGCATTACCTAGTTGCAACTAGTTGCGGCTTATAAAATTTTGGAGTTGCAACGAGTTGCAACGGGTGACAAATAAGTGTCACATACTTGCTGCGCCATCTCTAATAGGACCCAGTTGGCTCAAAGCACTAGTATGCCTCAAAACAATCAGGATATTATTGTAAAGTGTGATGAAGAATAGTATCAATTATTTGGATCAAATTAATGGAAAAAAACGTGAGTATATGTGAGAGCTGATTTGATGTGAATTTGGCGTTTATTATGTTCTTGCAATTGGAACATAAAAGATTGGTTGATGACAATACTTCCTTTTTGCTAGTAAAGTGTAGTATATTGGATCAAGTACAAAAACGACTGGATCGTCTAAAAAAAAAACAGAAAGAAAAGCCACAAGAAGATGAATTCGAGGCGCGCGTGTCGAATAAATATGTCAGCAAGAAGAAGAGGAGAAACAGAAAAGAAAAAGGCAAATCTAAAGAGAAAATGCAGCTGCAGACAATGAGGGTAATGAAGGTGAAGGATTATTTTTTTTTGAATATGTTATTGCTGAATAATGCGTTGCTAATTATTATCATTACTATTTAAAAAAGGTTTGGAGGATTTGAAACAACAAAAGTTTGAGTGGTAAAAGGTTCCCTCCAACAATATGTAACATCGGTGAAAATATTAATACTACATTGTGTCCTTTTACGATTCTTGTTAATTTATTGACATATGCATGACTTTATCGAGTTACTCAATCAATTTTGATTTTCTGTTTTCAAAGTTAGTCAGTATTCTTATTCCCTTCTTGAAGAATAATATTTGGTTTTATTTTTTGAATAATGATAATAAATTCAAATAAGTAACGATCGAATTTCTATTTGTAAAACCTTGGATATTTATTGTAACTATATTTTTCTTTCAACTAAGACTATACGATATGGTAATTTCAAAACATTTAAGGACTTGTATAATAATAGTCTTTTTGTTGATTTCTATTTGAAACTCAAGATTGAACACATTCGATCTAAAGAGGGGACAAGTCGCTTTGAGGTTGATCCAAATGACGACATTATAACATTAACAAAAAAGGTGAGAATCTTTGTTTTAAGTCATGAATCTATAAATGTAAACTTTATTTTTTTAAAACTAAACAAATGTCTTTTCTATCAAGATTGCAATCCAACTCAAATTTGATCCGTCCACACTTAAAATATCAAAAGACTCGTAAAATAGTGTACAAACAAAATATCTTTCCAGACAAAGCATAGCATTACTCAGTTAGGAATAAAGTATGCATAGAAAATATTCCTTATAATTTGTCAGATTTTTCTTAGTCTCTCGAACTTCTTTTTAGTCATGGTAATCTTATATACATAACTTTTGAAGACAGAGGAACCAGGCACTTCAGCAGCTTAGGACCATTTGAGCCAACAACGAATACCAGTTCATCATCAGCATTGAATGTAAAGCAAGAAGCTGTCGATGATTATCTAGAGAAACAGTCTGGTGACTTTATTAAATGAGGACGTGATCCAAAATTGTACGCATGAATTGTGTGCGTGCGTGTCGATTTTTAGTAGAGGTGACATGTATTCATTGCTGCTTTTTTAATCAATATAGTGGAGGGTCCTTCTCCATTGTTGTTATTTGTTGATTCATCAGTTGTAATAAGTGGTCCAAATAGTTTTTCTAGGTTAATTATTTCTTCTGGTTTAATTTCATCAAATATAGGATCAAGTATAAATGTAGATTCATTGACAGATGGTTTTTCTAAGAGAGTAGTAAAATTGACTACTGGTTCTTTAGCTTTTCCAACAGATGGTTCAAAAAGTTCTGAATCATCAATCAGAAATTTATTGATTATATCAGAGTCTTGAAATAACTCATCAGCAGATATAAAGTGTTGATCTTGGGTATCAGTGTCATTAATGATTACTCCATAAATTGTAAAGGTCAGAATTGCTTTGGAATTGTAAAGTAATAGTTCTTCTGTCATTGTTCCAAAACATTCTTTCATACAGGGTGATATTCAGGTAGACAGAGACATAATAAAAGAAAAATAAAATAGGAAATAAGAATATAAGAGTTTTTGAAAGGGAATAAGAATAAGATAAAGTATAAGTGTTAAAAGTTAAAAGTGGGAGAATGGGATAAGAGGGGTATTTATATAAAAATTGAAAAGAAGAAAAAGGTAAAATGTTAAGATAAGATGGGTAAGATATAAAGGTATGGGTAAAAAAGGATAAGATAAATAAGATAAAAGGTAAGATATAGTAATAAGAATTATGAATTATGAATAATTGGAGGTTCAATTAAATCTATAATAACTTCTGATTCGAATAATAGTTGTCTTTTATGGAATCTTTTTAATTGGTTGCTGTGGAATTTCTTTTTCAATACTTGCCCAAGTTGATTTTGTAACTTGTAAGTTTTATTTGTAAAAGTCTTGTAAATATAAAACCATTCTGTGTGCCATTGTGATTGAAATTTATCATCATGTTTCACATGTTGTTTCATGTTATACAGTAATACTTTATCTCCAATTTCATAGTATTCTATTTTAGATAATTTACTATCATATTGTTCTTTGAATTTTTCTTGTGACTAATGTATGCTAGTCGTAGCATTATGAATTTGATTATGTAAATATTTCACTAATTTATAGATCTGATTTAATAATTGTTCTTTAATTTCTATTGGTGTTTCTTCAAATGTTGTATATTGTAATTCAATGGGTAATCTTGCTTCTCATCCATAAGTTAAGAAAAATGGTTCATGTTTTGTTATACTATTTTGTAATGTTCTATAAGCAAATAATGTTACAAGAATATTTGTGTCCCAATCTTTTGAAATTCTATGCAATATTTTTGCAATACTGAAGTTAATGTTCTATTGAATCATTCGACAATTCCATTAGTTTGTAGGTAATATGATGTAGAAAATTGATGTTGAATATTAAACTTGTTGGTTAGCTCTGCTATAATACTGGCTGTAAATTCTGTTTCTTGATCGGATTGGATTATCTTCAGACATCCATGTCAACAAATAATTTCTTCAAATATGAATTTAACAACTTCGGTAACTTTTTTTGTTGGTATTGCTTTTGCTTTAGGTCATTTTGTAAGATAATCGATTGCTATAATAATATACCAATTGTTTTGTTGAGTAATTTGATTTGGTCCAATTAAGTCAATTACAATGTGATCAAAAGGTTGTCCAACTTTTATCAGATGTAAGAGTTCTTTGAGTTTTCGGGATCTAGTAAATTGACAAGTGGGACAAGATTTGACGAAATCTTTTATGTCAGTTCCCATTCCATTCCACCAATATTTAATGGCAATTCGTTGGTAGATTCCATTATATTCAAAGTGTCCAGAAAGTGGATCTTCATGCATGTATTTTATAATTGATTCTATTTCATTTTCTTTTAAAACTTTAAGAGGGTGTGTGATATTCTTTCGTCGATTAATTTTGAATAAGAGTCCATTTTGTACAACAAAATGTTTCGCGTGTTGAATAATTCATTGTTGTTGGGATTCTGAAATGTGATTATCAAAAGTTTTATTTTCCAGGTATCGAAGAAGATTATAGTATGTTGTTAAATTCATGATTTATTGTTCAGAGTATATACGAGATAGTACGTCAGTATTTTGGTTCTTTCTTCCGGGTCGATAGATAACAATAAAAGTATATTCCATCATTTGGATTATCCAGCGGGCAATTTTTGGTCCAGTATTTTATTATTTGGTAAATAATTATCTTAAAGCATTATGATTAGTAATTATTTTGAATATTGTTCCTAAAAGATAATGTCAGAATTATTTTACTGCCCAGATAACTGCAGCAGTTTCTTTCTCAGTTATACTGTAATTTTTCTCAGAGATTTTCAAAGTAGTACTTATATAAGAAATAACTTGTTCTCATCCTTGGTTGTCTTTTTGGGATAATACTGCTTCATATCCAGAGTCGGAGGCATCGGTATAGAGGTAGAATTTCTTTGTGAAATCTGGATAAACTAGGATTGGTGCTGTGACAAGTAGTGTTCCTATGAACTGAACTGAACCAGACTTTTGCCTAGGTTCGAGTTTGGTTCGAAATTCGAATCAAACTCGAACCTGATTTTGGCTTGAATTCAAGAAAGATTTGAAGTTTGAACTGAACTCAAACTGAACCATTATACGAGTTCGAGTCTGGTTCGAGTTTGATTAAAGATCAGCATATGGTATCATATACTGATTTGTAGCTCTAAATATAAGCTATAAATTTACTTATAAGCACAATTTATGGTATTTAGTAAGAATTAAAAGTTTACATAGTGATAACTAAAGTGTTTTTAT